TATCTACTTTGAGAGCCAGAATTATCCTTCTCTCCTCAGTTAATTTATGGAGAGTATGAAAGGAATTTGTCCTTCAAGAAATCCACTATAGTTTTTTTTCCACATTTTTAAAATTATCATATTATTTTACTGGGGGTACATTATGACATTTTCAAGTTCTTACAATATATCATACTTGAATTCACCCCTTCTGTCATTCTCCTTTATCCTCATTCCCTCATTACTGAAATAGTTTTTGTTTAGTTCTCATTTTCCCATTTTCATGTATGATGAGTACATTTTATCACAAAACTCTTCTGTAAAGTTCAGGGGAATTCAGTCAGTGCAGCCCAAGAGGCTGTGTATGACAGGGATTTTTAAATCACCAGCAAAGTTAATTGCAGCTTGATAACTATTTATAATCCTGATTCCATCCTAGTCTGAAAAGTCTGGTAACTTGGATCTAAAGGAAATGAAACTGATGATTGTATCATTTTGGAAGGCAAATCCAAACAACATGGAAGGAATAATCAATGCTTAATGATTTCTTTGAAAGCTCTTTTAGATTTTGACCTCAGGAAATATCCAAAACTCTTGTGATTTTGGACACCCTTTGGAATAATTTTAGTTGAAGCACTAAATCAATAATATCCATTGTGATTTGACTTGTTTGGATGCTAATTCATCTCACATGCCTTCAAACTGTAGCTCTGAGCATATGACCTCCAGTTGGTGTGAAAATTGACAAGTGTCACTTGTATCCAAAATGAAACAAGATTCTTTTTTTTCTCTTTTCTGTGAACAAGCAGCAGACTATGCAAAGTAAAATGTAAATCATCCAGGAAGCCAAAATAAAACAGTAGGAGAATTACTACAATTTCAACGAAGAGAGAGAGAGAGAAAACAATGGAAAGAAAATAAAAGGAATTCATTTATAATTCAAGCATGAGAACATGTATGGTGAATTACCTGTACTTTCTTGTTATCCTGCATGTATGTGTAATATCCATTTTTGCTTCCATCATGAGGAAAACAGATGGACTGCAAGGTAAAAATTAACATAGGCATCCACTTTGACACTGGTAGACTATCTTTCTTTGAGATTAAGATGACAACGATTTCAATGAGTGTGGGATGTGACTTTTCAGGAAGACAAGTAGATATAAGAGGGGAAGGATTCTTAATTGGGTAGCAAATTTTTTCAAATTAAAAAAAAATATTAAGAGCTTTTGGTGGAAGGTCCATAAAGTATTAAGGAACAGGTAATTCACAGGTCAAAAAAAATGAAGAGACATTAATTCAAAGGAAAAATAAGATGCTGTCATCATCATTGGAGAGATGAAAGAGAGAGAGACAGAGAGAGAGAAAGAAGAGAGAATGAGACTTAATCAGACCTTACTCAGGTCAAAAAAAAAAAAAGAAAAGTAAAAGGAAATATAGAGTAATGATGTTAATTATATAATAAATCCTATTCGAAATCTTTGCAGTTACTTCTTTTAGTCATTCAAACAGTACAGTAACTGTTCTTTAAATGAATACAATCTACAATCTGTATTTGATTAGACATAAATAAAATAAAAGGATTGCATATAAGAGAAAATCTTATTGAGACCCCCATCATGTACTGGGTGGCTCCATTTATTTATATAATAATTGAGAGTTAATTCACTCTTCATGGCTGTAAAAAGATGTACTCATTATCAATGGACTCATCAGAATGCTATGATCTCAGAAATATCATTACATAACAATAATCACACAGATCAGTGATAGGAGAGGCTCAAAATTAAATATGTGTAAACATTCTCAGTGTTTCTTTGGTGCAGCATAAGACAGCCTTTTCATCTTGGAGGGATTTCACAACAAGGAAATTAGTCATGTAGAGTTTACTTTGACATAGATTACACACAACAATGTTTAAGGCATTGAGATGTCTGTTGTAAGTAACTATGAAATGTTTTATTAACATTATGATCAATTATTGTGCTGAGTGAATAAAATTTTACATGTCTTACAAAGTGAGGTATACTTTGCTTTATATCTTAACCATACCATTTTGCAGGCATTTGACCTTGAGCTGTTCAATTTCCCCAAGAGTCAATATCCTCTTTTATAAAATGAGTTACTAATATTAACTTGAGTTATTGCAAGATTTTAAAAGTTGATACCTACAAGGAGTTTAGAAGCATAATAGGCACATGAGAATGCTTCAATTCTACAGTATTATAATATTTATTAGATCTACTGATGGTTAATGCAAACAGCCAATTGAAGTCATGGACTTCACCATAGAAAAATGATAAAACAAACCCAAGTATTTTCACTTCACTGTATTTACAGATTGCATAAAAATATTTTTGTAATGATTGGGTAATATAAAATCTTTATTGAAAAATGCTAAATCTTAATAGAAAAGTTTCTTACCAAGTTTTTAGATTTATTATTTTACAGATTGAAACCTAGAGCAGGTGATTAACTTTCCTAAAGTGAGTGAAGACTTAGATGAATCATGAATCATGAATCATGATCTCATCTTTACAAAGACATAGTTCTTGGAAAGGGACCATTATGGCTGTAATCAGTGCTTTTCACCCAGATAAGTAAATTGTAACTTACTTTGTATGTATACATGTATATATATGGACAGAGTCACAAATATGTAATTCTAAACTTGTGGAATATGTATATATGCTTTGTTTGGTACATCTTCCAATTTAAATGTGAAAAACAAAATACTGAAATAAAGTAAGAATTGTGAGAAAAAAAAGAAAAGAAATACATAGGGAGAAAGTATGTGCACATTTTAGAATGTTGAAGGGAAAGAAATGATCTCACACTTAAAATTGGTGGCTGAGTCAAGTATAGAAATGAGTCATCTGCTCATACCCTAAAATAAAAATCAGGACTGAAAAGGTTGGCATTTTGCACATGGTGAATCAGGATTGGATGTAGGAAGATATTCAAGTGAAAAGGAAGGTCTCCTAAGTAACAAAATCAGGCCTTACCTGTGGCCTTGGGAAGGAAAACAACTGAAGATTCAAACACATATTTTGGAATATTGGCTAGGAAGTCATACTTTATTTAGCTAGAAGAAAAATTAATCATCTATAAAAAATGAAAGCAAATGACTTTTTGGAGTTGCACAAAGTTTCTAAAACTTTTATTTTCTTGAGTTTTTTTTTTTATATGAACTCTATTTTTCAATTTTGGATGAACAATTGGAGCTGCATTTCATCTCAATGCACAGGATTAAAATAACAATTTTGTTGAAGTAGATTCATGTGAATAAACAACTACTTTAAGAGTGGTCCAGATCAGTAGCTTAAATATTATTTATAAATAAAAATATACTTCTTTATTTATAGGTGGAAAATAGGTATAGTATAACTACTATAATGATAAAAACAATTGCTTTTCTATGATTTGCCTCTAAACTAATGCTAAATCCTGAAAATGTGTCATAAATATCAGTTAATTTATTTTAAGGTGTTATAAATATAAGTTAATTTGTTTTAAGTCTTCATTTTCTTTATAACAATTTTTTTAATTTAGCGGATGCCACTGATAATCTCTAAAACTGTATTAAACTGAAAATTTAAAATGAAATCATGAGTAAAGATCAATACAAGATTACCACAGAGTAAATATCATATGTGTAAATATAGTAATAATAGTAATGATATTTGAGCTCAAATTTATAATAAAAACAATTGGACTATTGGTTAACAATTCTTTAACAACAGTTTTGAGACTTGAACTAAATTAGCAGACACTCTAGCCAACCCCAATAATATACCATAGATGTGTATAAATTGAATCCTCTTGGTTTACATTTGCAGAGTGATGAAGAAATTCAAACTATTTTATTCATTCTTTATTTGAATTTTAAATGAAATCGTTCTGTTTAGAACTAGATCTTCTAGCAAGTCAAAGTTTCCTTCTTGCTTAAATAATTTTATTTCAACTACTACATGGTTGGCAAATTTTGAAGTATTTTGATAAAGAGCATACATTGGACACAACAGAAAATTGAAATGCAGACTATTTAATTTAAAACACAGCAGAAGGTTGCAGGGAGTATCTCAAGCAGCAGAATATCTGCGTAGCAAGCATAGCAATAGTGAGGACCTGAGTTCAAACCTCAGTACTGCCAAAAAAAAAAATATTTATTTGCAGAATATAATTCATTAAATTAAAAGGAAAAACATCCAGATATAACTGCCTTCTGTTCCATTCTTTAATTTTAATCCTGTGTTATTATGTGTTTCACTTAAGCATATAATTGTAAATGGAAGGCTTATAGAAATATATATGTACATATATATTTATGTATATATATATATATATATATATATACTACTGCTATAAAATATTACCATTTTATTTTAGAAATCATATGTAAGGAAGAAACAAGAAAATAGAAAAATTCTCAAAACAATCCCACAAGCTTCTTACTGAAAGTATTTAGGTTTTACTTAACACACATACAGGTATCTCAATCTGTAATATTGTCTTTATTTCACTTTATTGAGGTAGACTAAATTACCCATAAATCTTTGGACTACTGTTAGCTTTACATTTGTAAAAATACTGCATATGACAACTACTTCTGCTTTGAATCACATCTGACTTACTCTTTCATCTTAACACATTTGGTTTTTTTAAGGATCAAATGCTGTTTCTTTGTAAGAACTTAGTTTATTTTGGAAAGTGGAAAATAATAATAATTTTTGAACAACTCTAAAATTGTTTATTTGAATGAGTTGTTTTTATAAATGTAAGAATTGAACATAATGTCCTGAAAAAAGGACTTATGAACTCATTAGCAAATGAACCAAAAAAGAAAGATAAGAAAATTGTACTTCATTTTAAATATATGATTTTCTTTTTCTGGAACATTAGAATCTTATCCATTGTACATAGTTTCATGATACTGTGTTCTCATCAATTCTCTCCAGGACATTTCTGACATTCACTTGTGTCTTTTCAGGTGATTGTTCCGTATCTTCACCCACTGGACCATGGAAAATAGGAATAATGTCACTGTGTTTATTCTCCTGGGACTTTCTCAAAATAAGAGCATTGAAATCCTCTTCTTTGTATTAATTTTATTTTGCTACATTGCTATTTGGGTGGGAAATATGCTCATTATGATTTCTATCACATGTACTCAGCTAATTGATCAACCTATGTATTTCTTCCTCAATTACCTCTCACTCTCTGACCTTTGCTACACATCCACAGTGACACCCAAACTAATGACTGATCTACTGACAGAAAAGAAGATTATTTCCTATAACAACTGCATGATACAGCTCTTTATTATTCACTTCCTTGGAGGCATCGAAATCTTCATACTCACAGCAATGGCCTATGACCGCTACGTGGCCATTTGCAAGCCCCTGCACTACACCATCATCATGAGCAGGCAGAGGTGTAACACAATCATCATAACTTGTTTTACTGGGGGATTTGTACACTCAGCCAGTCAGTTCTTTCTCACTATTTTCTTGCCATTCTGTGGCCCCAATGAGGTAGATCATTACTTCTGTGATGTGTATCCTTTGCTGAAATTGGCTTGCACTGATACATATACAATTAGTCTCTTGGTTATTATTAATTCAGGTCTAATTGCTTTGGTGACCTTTGTGATTTTGATGCTATCTTATTTTCTGATATTATACACCATTAGGGTTCACCCTGCAGAGAGCCGTTCCAAAGCTCTTTCAACCTGTGGTTCTCACATAACAGTTATGGTCATGTTCTTTGTGTCTGTTCTCTTCATTTACATTAGGCTAAACATAACTTTTCCGGAAGACAAGGTGTTTGCTCTTTTCTACACCATCATTGCTCCTATGTTCAACCCTCTGATCTACACGCTGAGAAACTTGGAGATGAAGAATGCCATAAGGAAAATGTGGTACAACCAAATGTTTGCAGAAAGGAAGTAAGTTCTATGAAAGACATTTCAGAATTATACTTTAGGGCTCAGTCCTGAGACTAAGTATTAGTATGGAATGATATTAAAAACAAAAAACAGGTACATGGGAGGAATAAGTATTAGTGTTCTACAGCACCGTAGGTAGATTATAGTTAAAAATAATTTGCCATTTATTTCAAAATAGCTAGAAAAGAGGATTTGAATGTTCCCAATACAATGAAATGATTAGCACTGAGGTGATGGATGGATATGATGATTACTCTGATCTGATCATCATACATTCTATGTATGTATTGAAATATTACACTGCATCCATAAATATGTAAGTTATTATACATCATTTTTAAAAACCATGCATAGCACATGTGAGAGCCAGTCAAAGGTCAGTCTTTTTAACATTTCCCTCTGACCACTCATGATTTGAGAATGGCTAATATATTTTTATCTTTTTTTCCTTCTATTCTCATATTTCTGCCTTAAATTTGCCTTAATTTTACCTTTTATGCTTAATATTTAATTTAGTGTTTTCTAAGTTTTCTGTGCCCCCTCCCATTTGAGGAGGTACTGGGGTTTGAATTCATCATTTTGTGCTTGCTAGGCAGGTATTCCATTGCTTTAGCCACACTCCTATCCCTTCTTGCTCTTATTATTTTGGAGACAACATCTTGCTTTTTGCCCAGGCCAGCCTGGACTATGAACCTCCTTTTATACACTTCCCAGAAGAGCCTGGATAACAAGCATTAGCATCAGGCTTAGCTTTTTCACTGTTGAGATAGGGTCTTAGAAACCTTTTTTTGTGCTGAATGACCAGGAACCACAATCCTCCAGATTGTAGCCTCCTAAATAACTAGGGTTACAGACATGAGCCACTGACACTTGGCTTGGTGTGCCTCTTTTTCCAAAAGTTTTTGGAACTTTTATTAACTTATTAGTTAATAAGTTGCCATCAGGTAAAGGAAAAATATAGTTTGAGACTTCTGCTGTGAGCATCTTAGAAGAGGAGAGCATAAAAAGATGATTTTCTAGCTGAAGTTAATAGATGAGTAGAGCAATAGATTTCCTTCCTTACTAGAAATCATAAACACTCTTCCACTGAACCTACATTTGAGAAGTAGCATTTTATTCTTATGTTTAACAAGATGCTTCTGCAAAGATAGTCTCATTTTATTTTACCTCCAGCCAAAAAATAAGTAAGTAATCTTAAATGTCTGGAAAATGATACTGGCGATTTCATTTTCTCTTTTCATTCAAGTTATATTCTTTCCTAAATATTCTGCAACACAAAGAATATATTAGATTCAATGCCTAAAAGATCCTGATAGAAAATTATAAAAGATGCAAAATGATGAATTAATAGTACATGAAAAATGTACATATATGAGAAAATATACATTGCTACAACCATTTTTGTTTCTGTTCTTTATGATGAGGTTTTAGTGACTATTCACAGTTTAACTTCTTGGGTTCTCCACCCCACCTTACATTTACTCCAAGTTGGCCTTCAGTTAATTGGAACTCATTTCTAATAAGGTTAAAAGATGTTTTGCTTTCCAAAATTCTCAATCATTAATGGTGCTACCATTATTAATCATTCAATTATTATTAATTCATATACTTACAGAAATTTTAATAAGATGCCTTTTAGCATTTTCTGGGTTCCATGTATTGGTCATCTTTGTCCACATTATATCATAGCAATCAAAATCTCCAATAATAATCACTACAGACTGTTTTTTGTCTGTTTCTTTATTAGTGGCATGAAGAGCCTAAAATGTACAGGAAAAAACATAAATTTACAATTCATTAAAATAATTATTGTGGTCCTTCATGACAGCATAGAATGCATATTTAAGACAACTGAACTGAGCAGTTCAGGGACAGGATACAAGAATTCTATGAATGGATTATAATGTAATAGTAAAGAGAAATATTTACATGTAATTTCTTTCATTTCCATAATTGTTTAACTATTGAAAGAAACAACATCATACATCAGTAAATATTTCCTTAAATATATAATTTTAGGCATTAAAAGTACTATCTCTCATCTGACACTTTTAATGTTCAGTAAGAACATTCCAGCATTGTACTAAAAGAATTATATCAAAGTAATTAATGGGTTAGGACTTAGTTACTAGATGCTTCTATACAAACTAAAAGAGAATGGGTGACTTAAGTAGCACATCTTATTCCTGGCAAGTTTAGAAGTTCAGCCTGAAGGTATCTATAGGTTTGACGTCCCCAGAGGTTGGTCTTTTTGGCTTCTTGGTGGTCACATGCTTACTGTGTCTTCACTAGGCCTTTTCTCGATGCAAGCATCCGCAGTGTGTCTTCTATGTGTCCAAATTTTATTTTCATAAAATATTCAGTCAGATTAGATTATGATCCACCAAAAGAGTCTCATTTTAAGTTAATTGCTTTTTTAGAGGCCCTTCCTCCAAATATACACAAGTTAGGGGTTCTGTTTGTACAATTGAAAAGAGAATAATTCAGTGCATAATAGTGTACATAGTAAATTGAATGCCTGGTATATATGTCCAATTTCATTCTGTACATTGATCAGACTCAATGTTATGTGAGACAACACCACGTGAATAAGGTACTCCAAGTCCATAAATCATGCTGCTTGTATAAGCATTGCTGGAAGATAAGGCAACTCTATGTCCAAAGAGTGTCTGTTTCTCTGAGGGCAAATTCTTTCCCTTCTATGATAGAAGGATTTCACTGTAATCAATTTGCAAGCACAGGAATGAACAGTTTCCCTGGATACTGACATCTGTTGGGCTGTCAATATTGGTTTCACAACAATATTTTTCATAAGACACTGTTGATATACTCTGACATTGACTGTATTCTCATAAACTGGCATGGCCTATGGTCCTTCCTCTATACTTGGGTTGAATGCCTGGCAAGAGAAGAATGAGAGAAGAAGCTACTTTAACCAAGGTAATACAGCCAAAGTGAACATGTTGATTTTTTTGTGGCAAGATATTAAAAACACTGACTTCTAACCTTATTGTTTTGGGATTCTCATTCTTGAAACCGAGCTTATATAACTGTTCAGAGGTTGAAACAAATTCACCCAATGAGTCTATGAGTAAGGACAAGCTGTCAGTTTTTCTTGTCAACAAGTTAAATGAAGTTCCATGCACCAGCCAGCATTACTTGATCAGAAGTTAATCCTATCTAACAAGAATGAGTTAGGATATCTGTTATCAGTTTTATAACACTATGCTGGAGGTCCTAATTATTATATTAGTAAGATCAGAAGAGAAAACAGCTTCAAGAATCTATACACAAATGCACACAGAGAGATACACACACATACATAAAAATTAGTCTCAATTTATGTGAATGTTTACATGAAAAGTAGCCAAAGATACAGAAAGTATCTGATGTTTTCAGAAATAAAATAGGAGCAAATGCCAAATTCATCTCTTTGCACTAGCAGAAAACAGAAAATAAAACTTGAAGCAAATGCAATTTGTAACAGAATAACATGTAGGTGCCCAGAATAAATGTTACAGATCAGAAAATCTTATATATTGTTTTTAAGGTTGTTACAGAATATAATGTTTGTTACGTAAAAATCATTTCCTCCAAATTGGCTTACATAGTCCGTTCAACTATAATTATTACCACAGCAGTTCTCTAATGGAACTCATTGAGAATATTCTAAAATACATGAGAAATTTCACAGGGGTGAAACATGACTGTCAGAAGAATAAAGAGGAGAGATCAGCTGTGAAGGGTTTGAATAATTTCAAGGATGATTAAAGAAAATTATTTGACTATAAGGTGGCAGTAATAATCTGTTGTATTTTAGTAATCGTAGAGCTGTTTGCAGTGTGTGAAGGAGGGAGGGAATTTTTCACAGCATGAGCCTATCCGCAAACTACTGTGACACCACTAAGAATGGGAATAGAGCAAGGATATGCCTGGGAAGTGAAGGATGAGAGAAGGAGCTTACCTGCCTAGGTGATGTCATACAGCAGCAAGGTGAGAGAGTTTTATAGGCCAATAATGACTTGGGATCTTTACAGTCCCAGGGGTTTATATTTTCCATGACTGACTCATATTGGATATCATTGCATGGGTTATTCAAAGGAGACAGGCTCCAGATGGCCAAATGTATTCTCATTAGGGCAAAATTTAAATCAGTTTGACATGTAAAAGTTAAATAAAGTGTTGATGAAGTTTTGAAAAACTGAGTCTCTGACAACTGTGAAAAAGTGAACACTGAATCTGAACAGTATACAGATGTCATCTTGGATTATCTTTATAGTATTGGTGTTTGATGATACTGTCATTTATTATATCTATATTAATAAAAACTGTGTCATATTGGCATAAAATAGTCCAATATAAAATCCACATTAAAGTACATTCCTGCTCTATGAAATATACGGAATAAGATCAGTCACAGAGTACATCTTTGTTTTGTTCCTGATCTTGAGAAAATGCTTTCAGCTTTTCCACACTCAGTGTGGCTACGAGTATATCATACATTGCCCTTATTATATTGAAGCAATGTCATTCTATTCCTAATGTGTTCATAACTTTTATGATGATTCCTTACCTCTGGACAAATGTAACTCCCTTCCCAGAAGAGAAGAGATTCTTATTGCCTAGAGATCATAAAATGTCACCTGAAGCTATATCCTTGCAAAATTATGCTCAATTTCTTAAGAGATATTGTCATATAACGCATTTCTACCAGGCCAATAGCAAGGATCTGGTCTCACAGCAGCTCCAGGGAGAAGCTTATACATTTTCAGTCTAGAAATGCATCGATGTAGGAACTAAATACACTGGCATATGCCTGTATCCCTAGCTGTGTGGGATGTGGGACTCAAAGGATTGAGGTTTGAGGCCAGTCCAGGCCAAAAAATGTTAACAAAATCCCCAAGGAAGATGATCAAAGGAAAAAGGGCTGGTAATTCAAGTGGTTGAGCACCCTGATTTCTAACTCCAGTAGTGAAAAAAATAAAAACATGAAATGTGAACATT